AATGCATTAATGGAATTTGCAAAAAAAAAAAAAGAGCAATGACGATAGGTTATACCTGAACATGGCAAAGAATGACAAGTATTTACCCTCATCCAAGACAAAAATATGGAATAGTACCTGTGAAGAAGAAGAGGAAAAAGAAATGCGTGGAATAATGAAAAAAATGGAAGATGTGAAGATTTCTGGTAAGTTATACTTCTTTTATTAATTTGATTCCTAAATGTCAGGATCCGAAATCTTGTTCAGATCTCAGGCCTATCAGCTTAGGCAGTTTTTGTTATAAAATTATTGCTAAGATTTCAACTTACAAACTGTCAAGTATTTTAGAGAAATTCTTTAGAACAGGGGGCTTTTATCAAGGGAAGGAATATTGTAGACAATATATCTCTAGTCTAGGAACTAGTAGATGATATTGACAAATATATATATATATATTTGAGGAAATGTCATTATCAAATTAGATATGGCCAAGGCTTATGATAGACAATTGAAATTTTATTTAGAAGGTTCTCATATTTGGCTTCAACATCTCGTGGGTTGTGATGAAAACAGTAACAAATTGTTGGTTTTAGCTTGTATGGAATGGCAAGGGGACCCTCTTTCCTCATATTTGTTTATCTTGGCTAAGGAAGTGTTAAGTAGATCCCCCAAAAACATGCCGAATCCGATGAAAATGTTTGTGTAGCCTCTAGTGGTTGTCCAAAAATAACTCATACTCTTTATGGGGATGCACGATAATCTTCACTAGAGGTTCTAAGAGAACCTTGGAAAAAGTGATGAGGATCCTCCATCAATATGAATCCATTTTAGGCCAAATGATAAATAAACAGAAAAGTTGTTTTTTCGTGGCCAAAAAAGCATTGACATTCCGGGTTTATATTATTGAAAGAGCAATAAGTTTTCTTCATAAGAAGCTTCCATTTACTTATGGTGTTCCTATGACAAAAGGTCGGCTTAGAGCACTTCACTTTGAGGATCTTCTTTTGAAAGTTACAACCAAGTTCTCGGGGTGGAAAAGGAAGGTTTTGCTGTCAAGAGGTAAACTTGTCTTTATTAGACATATTCTTGCGAGTTTCTTCATCCACATTCTCACTACTATTGCAACACCAAAGGGTGTTTTAAGAAGGTTAGAGAGAATTTTCTCTAACTTGCTTTGGTCTGATGAAAAACAAGAAAGTTGACATGCTTGGGTGGCCTGGAGCAAGATCACTCTTCCTTATAATGAGGGGGGACTGCAAATTTGAAGTATTATGGAGGTTGATCAAGTTTTTCAATTGAAATTGTTGCCAGTCAAAATGGACTTAGGCAACATTGTCAATTCGCTCCCAATCTGAGGTGCTGTTGAATGGTCTAAGGTCCAGAGTGGCTGGGGACTATTAGGTTAGTCTTGCAAAGAGTGAAGGAGAACGTTAGAGGCCTCAGGTGGATACCCGAAGCGGAGACTCTGATGGTCAAGTTAGTACTAGGAGGTGTGAGGTGGACGAGGCTTGAGGTGTGAACACTCAATCCATGAAGAGGTTCGTCTAGTAGGCCTGATAGGAGTAGGCCTGTCAATGGTACCCGAAAATCCGAGGCCCAATTCGACATCCAATCTGATTATCTTGGATTCAAATTACGTATTTATGTAACCGGATCAGATTGGGATGTTACAATCTACATCCAATTAATAATCAAATCAAATTTGGATTTGACCCAATATGATTTGATTAAAATTTGAATATGATTATATTATAATATTTATTAATTTTAATATATAAATTCTATATAATTATATTAAAATTTATAAAAATGTATTTTAAATATTATGTTATATATGAATTTATATAATAAATTTAGTCTGTTATATTTATATTAGTTTATTATATATAAAAGTTGAAAAATAAATAATTTTTTAATTTTAGTGGTATTTTAGAGAATTTAAAGTGGAGTCTGATTAAATTTGAATCCGATATGAGCTTGTTAGGATTCAAATTCAAATATGAGATCTCTAAATCCAATCGAATTTTGGATCAAATTTGAATGTAGGTTCTTAATATTCGGATCAGATGCGGATTTTGCTACATCCAATCAAAATCTGATCTGATTACAGCCTTATTGGGGAGAGAGAGGAGTAGGTTCCATAGCGGTTTTAGTATTATTTTATTTGTTACAACCGTGAACTGTTAACTAAATAAAATTGGAAAAAAAACTATTAATTTTTTATTTGTTTTATCCAATTACAAGTGTTAACCATTAATTAAATAAAATTAGAAAACTAAAAGAGGGTAAAAATGGAAAGTGAAAATCAGAATTTTTCACGAAACACTGCCACCGTCCTCATTTTTATAAATGTCACAGACAATATTCTCATTTTTTAGTATGGTATAGAAATTTTTATGATTTTCTATGTTTTTGTAATTTTTTGCGTATTTCTTTGTTTTTTCTGTAATTTATATTGTTTTCTTCATTTTGAGGAGAAAGGTGTGTAGGATAAGAGAGATGCCATTTATGCTTCCTCCTTCTTACTGTAAAGTAAGGGGAGTGGATAAGATATACACTATGCAGAGAAGGGTTTAAAGGAGAGAAATGGGGTTTTAGGATTTATGTCTTCGCTTCATGTGTGAATGATGACATTTGGCCTTTTGCCTCTTGTCGTTTTGCTCATCAATGGTGGGGCCGTTATATGCATATCTAATGCTTAGCATTAGGATATAGGTTAATTCTGATTCATTTATATTAGGATTCGAATCGAATATCCATTCAATTTATATAGAAGAATCTGGATCTCTTGCCAACAAAATGCATTCCAAACCCCTATGGCCCTACCAAGTACAATCCCTACGATATTACGTTGGTAGGGTGTCAGATTACTAGATTGGCCCGATGATCATCGAGAAAAAACACCTAAAATGAATCAATATAATGAACCTAAGAGCATTTCTTGATCCAATACAACTTATTACGTTAAGAGAGACAATTGAAAAAAAAAATAGGGAGAAAAAAAAGCTTCATTTAATCATCTGATTGTTCCTTGATGAAAAGAGAGGTTGAAAAAAATCCATTCTTCCCTTCAATTCAAATTCGTGGTTTGGGTAAACCATCCGATACTTGACACGTGTTGGCTCTAATCAATGAAGAGGTTCATTAAGTAGGTGCTTCGGGAGAAGATCAGATAAGACAAGGAATAGGTTCCACATTAGTCTTATTGTCATTTTATTTGTTTTATCCAATTACAAGTGTTAACTGTTAATTAAATAAAATTGAAAAATAAAAAACATAACAAAGGGTAAAAATGGAAAGTGAAAATCAAGCTTTAAAATAAAAAACATGATAAAGGGTAAAAATGGAAAGTGAAAAATCAGGCTTTTTGATGGAACATTGTCACCATCCTTATTTTTATAAATGGTACAGATACAAATATATTATATTATATTATATATATATATAATTCCGTCGTTTTAAGCAGGGGTAGGATTAGAAATATGAAATCAAGGAAGGGTAGAATTGGAAATGTAAAATCAGGGTGTTGGACGGTGGACACTCATCCATTTCTCTTTTTTTCAAAATGGGTAAGATATTCATTTCATTTTTATGAAAACCATCAGAACCGGTTAAAATCCAAAAAAACAGTTGAAAACTAGCCAGGTTTTCATGACCTGCCCAGGTCACTAAGTCATTATAAACTTTAAAATGCAAGTAGAAGGATTTGAACTAAAACCTCTTAGTTACATGTGTTACATCCACCCTTAATCCACCATATTTTTTTGTGTTTATTTATGTATCTTTAGGCTCAGTTTAGAAGAAATACAAATATAAATATGTAGAGTACAAAACCTTGTATTTGTATTTGTACTCCTTCCAAACTGAGCCTTAATGTTTATATTGATTCTTTACAAAAAAAAAAATAGGTATATATATTGAATGGAAGGCAAATAAAAAATCAATGCCCCCTTAGGCTCTCAGTTTGAAAGCAGTACAAATACAAATTTATAGAGTACAAAAACTTGTATTTTGTATTATTTTATTTACATATTTGTATTTATACTCCTACCAAACTGAGCCTTAAGGTCCGAAAATGGGAACTATCCCATAGTTTGGCAGAAGATCTCGTCGAGCGAGATGGGAGGCATGCCTTAGCTTTGTTGGAAAGTGTTGCTGCGAGCAAATCCGAGACCAAATCTCCCATGTTTTTTTTGCTCATGCATCACTGAGATTTCAAAAATACTCATGGGGTGGTTTTAATCAATCAAAACCACTCCTATAGATTTTATGCACCTCCTATTTGTAAGTATAATATTTAGCATAAAAGCTTACCATTTTCTTAATAAATATTAATATTTAGCACAAAATATATTTTCTTAATAAATATTACCTTGTCATTTCAACAAAAAAAGCATAAAAATCTTGTAAGAGATCTAGACTATTGGGATTAGATTGAATAAGGCTGCATCATTTGGTTGCAGTACAAATTTTATTCGTACTAGTGTAAATGCATGGAAGTGCAAGAGGGCTGAGTGTACTGATCACCTTTTGCTTCAGATTTGACTTTATTTGTGGGAAGTAAAGTGAAGTGACCTCCAATTTAAATGAAAAGGAATAGAGGTAGGAGGATTACTTATTTGTTTTAGGAATAATGTAAGATGATGTTATCCCACAAGGAATTGAGGTAGGAGAGTAAGGTGGTATAAATTTTGCATCAGTTTTTGAGATGCAAAGTTTATACTGTCAGTGCAAAAGAGATAAAAGTACAAATTCTTATAGTCGCAAATCATAATTAATTGCAAACAAGCGAAAGTAAAATTGAACAGGATAAAAATTTTGCACTCGGTCAAAATTTGCACTGCAACCAAAAACCGCCTAGGGAATTAGTGGGAGCAAGAGAATGTAAATCTACCTACAATCACACAATGTCCGGTAGTAAAATCAAACCGATCCATGCACTGGAATAACATACTATAGTGACCACTCCATGGAAAAAAATGAAAATAAAAATTAAATATAACTAACCATCTCTCAATCAATTATCGGCCGTTGATCTCTGCAAACTGAGAGAACATTGTAGTCCCGGAATGTTCATCAATTGCATGAACTTGCGCGGGAGCGCTATTGGCTTCAACCACCTGTGGATTATCTGGAGTAGAAGAATTAACAGGGGCAATAGCAGTTGGTGCAACCACAACCCCAGCCGATGATGATGTAGTTGTCGTAGCAGCTTCTGCTTTGTTTTCTTCTTCCAACTTACCTTGAGAAGAAGCCTCTTGTAGCTGTAGTGCGTACTCTAAATTCCAAAGCACGTCTCCCATGGTTGGCCTATCAACACCATGTTCAGCCAAGCACTTCTCTGCGGCTTCCGCAAACTTCTTCATGGATTCAGGATTAATGGCGCCAACGAGGTGAGGGTCGATGATCTTGTCGAGCAATCCTTTCTTCTTCCATTGCATAGCCCACTCTGCTAGGTTCACTTGCTCCCTCGGAAGAGCTGGATTAATGGCTGGCCTTGCGCATAAAGCCTCCAATAGCACCACCCCAAAAGAGTACACATCTGACTTATCGGTCAATTGCTGCCTCCTGAAATACTCTGGGTCTAGATACCCAAAACTCCCCTTCACTGCTGTACTTACATGAGTCTGCTCCATGGTGGGTGCATTCTTTGATAGCCCAAAATCTGCCATCTTTGCAATGAAGTTCTCATCCAATAATATATTGGTTGTCTTCACGTCCCTATGTATGATCCCTTGCGCCGCACCCGTGTGTAAGTAGTGTAGCCCACGAGCTGCACCAATACAGATCTCTAGCCTCTGCTTCCAGGACAATGGGGGCAAGTTCTTTCCGTACAGATGGTCTCTCAGGGGTCCATTTGACATGTACTCATAAACCAGGATCATCTCTGAGTTTTCGTCACAATATCCAATCAAAGAGACTAAGTGCCTGTGCCGGAGCTTTGATAGCATCTGGATTTCTGTTTGAAACTCGGTGATACCTTGTTCAGATTGTGGGTTCCCTCGCTTTACTGCAACCTTGGTCCCGTCATCGAGATGCCCAAGATAGACATTGCCGAATCCTCCCACGCCGATCACTGCATTTTGATCGAAATTCCCTGTTGCCTCTTGCAATTCTGAAAATGAGAAGTACCGACCCAACCCAAGTGTCGACGAGTAGAAGTTGCTCCTGTGAGACCCCATGGAATTCTTGCTCGTCATTAAGGTAGAGTGTCCTGCATGAAGAGGGAGCAACCACGAAGAGAAGCTGTTCTTCTTTTCCCAATCCTTTGGCCTCTTATACCACTTGATCACCATTGCACCTAGACCTACAAAGGCTCCGAACATCATTGCAAAACCTACGGCTGCAACAGCCCCTTTGTTGGATTTGCTTGCCCCCATATCAGTGCCTTCAACGCCGAATTCTCCGTCCAAACTCCCAACAGAGCTGCTCATCTTCAAGACCTCCAAGCCATTGAGGATTGCATTAACTGCACCTGGGTTTTGGTTCATGGGGCCTATTTGGACGATAAGCTGATCCGATATCAAGGAAGCATTCACGACAAAATCCTTGTAGTAAGGTACAGCCAAATTTGACGTGATGGTTGACAGGTCCAGTCCAGAGATAGCCATTTTCCCATTAATATACACATTGAAGTATAAATCATTGAGCGATTTGCTCACAATATCACAAAAATGCATTCGAATCAGGTAGTCAAACGCTGGATCAGTATCGAATTTCCATGTTATGTTAAAATTAGGCTTTTCAATAGCATCAGCCATCTCAACAGCGGATGCATAGACCCAATTGGGCGCGATCAAAGGTGATAGGCCTGCAGGATAGTTGATGATACTGGGAGAGACGGACACATTCTTAGCCAAGGCTCTAGACTGTAGATACATGTCGTCAGATTCCCATGTACGACCAATGGTGTCGTTCTGTGGGGTGATAATGGGCCCACCCACGTTGATCCGGTACAAGGTCTGGTATGCGCGATTCGATAGTCCGGAGAAGTCACCGACCGGGAAAAGCGTAGAACCCACGTCAGAAATCAAGCCATCTGGAGCAGATACCACTTCAATAGCATTGATAAACGCAGCAGAGTGCTTCATGGGGGTGAATTTGAGGTAAAGAAGTGGTGTGGTGACGTTTAGGAGGTATTCCTTCACGACCACCTTAGTTTCATTATTGACACTAAAGTTGTGGAGGAGGACAACCTCCTCAGTGGAGACGGAGAAGACAGAGTTTCGGAGATCAAATTGGTCGTTGTTAATAGGGTAGAAATGGAGACGGATCCAAACCCAGCCAGGTCTAGTCATTTTAAAGTTATAAGTGGCTTGTTGGACGAAGATCCTGGCTGTTAAATACAGAGGGTTAGGGACATCCTTGGTGGATGAGATAGCGACTAGGATGTCGTCTTTGGAGGAGAGAAAGGAGGCAGCTTGTCGATCGGAGCGAAAGGTTCGCTCATCGCTGAGGGTAGTCATGGTGGGGGAGCCACAATTGACGAGGTAGTTGTCATGTGGAGAGAAGGGGACTTCTTTAGAGGAGGCCAGGTTTCTGGTGCTTGTGGTGGAAAGGAAGACGCAGAAAAGGACTAGGAGGAATGCCATTGATGATCGGAGATGGTTTTTCACGGGGGAGGGGGGTTCCTCTCTGGTTCTTCTCTGTCTTCAGAGACTCAGAGTCCAGCCCCCTCCCTTCCGTGGAAAGGAAAGCTAGAAGGAAGAAAAGGGAAGGTTATATGGATCTGAGAAAAAAAAAGAAAACATGGTTTTCAGACAAAAGGATTGATTTTACCTAATTGCCCCCTTTTCCCCATACGGTAATGCGGCATGGACTTTGTTAAAGGATTGGTTCTGAATCTTTGTCGATCATTGTCATTGCCATTTACAAACCATTTAGTTGAGAAAATTTTGGCTCTTAACCGTTTGACAGATTCTGTTGTCTATTAAACTCTCCCTTCGTTTGACACGTTAGTCCATTCGTGTCATACAGGGTGTAAAATTCTTTTTGTTTTTTTTTTTATGTTTTTACAATTGTCTAAACTCACATCATTTTCAGCATTTCTCTTAAATTCATAGTAAGTTTTTAAAACTTTAAGACACTCCATGTAAGTGAATTATTATTTTTCAAAACTCACCATGTGTTAGAATAGAGTAACTGTTTATTAATAAAAATTGTCCAAATCAATATAAATGCAATTTTTATGACCAATCTTGAATAGCATAGCATGTCAAGTGGACTTTGTATTCTATAGAGCCACGTGTCTTATTTATGACCATAGATCTTTTTTTTATGTTAGTTCTTGTTCCATTTGAAATTAAAAGGGATAAAATGATAGTTGTGTTGTGCAAGTAGATATGGAGCATTAGATGAGTTTTATTTGAATCACAAGCATTTTATTATTATTATTTGAAGCTCCCTTTATATGTAAAATGGGTGAATTTTTTTAAACCGAAATATTTAAGATATATTTTTTTTTTATTTTTATAAAAAATTTGCTTTATTTTCATTTACAACAGAACAAAAGGGTAAAATAGTAATCTACCCACATATATTAGTCCATTTAACATCAACTTACCAACATGGGTTTTCTTAATGTTTTGAAAAGTTATGATAAGTTTAAGAGAACTACTAAAAAGTCATGATTAATTTTAGACAATTTAATTTTTTTTTGTTGGTGTCAATCAAATAAAAAGAGAAATTTCTGTTATTGCAAGAGAAATGGATGACATTTCTAAAGATCAACAGGGGGAAGCCAGAACACGAGCAAGAACTGACTCGGATAGTTCCCAAGTTTAACGGGAGATTTTCTCTTTATTTAGTTTTCTTTCACATCTTACATACCTTTTAAGCCACAAGTTTTTGACTACTCAAAGGAGAGAGAGATGCTCAATTCTCCCGACCCTCGCTCTTTTTATCCAACTAGCACGTTTGACCAACTCGCCATGTGGTATCGCGTTTTAATCAATTAATAATGGGAAAATCTATGATGCGAAAAAGATATGGTATGGAAAGAGTTTTGACCAATCAAAACCCATCAATTTTGATAAATAACACCTGATTGGCTACCACGTTTATGATTTCAGTTGATTAGAAGTTTTTCAGATATCATATCTTTTCCATCCATCAATAATAAACTTTGAATAATAATCCAAAGAGTTACTTTCATCAACCTCCCGGATTGTGGAGTCCATGATAATTAGTAGACAAGTTGATGGGGCGGGTAGCCCAACGGGACTTTTGGTATGCAACTTTGGTCTGACTAAAATATATTAATTTTTTAATTGATTCCCCTTTAATTGAAAAGACAAATGTATTTTGAATAACCACTTTTTTATTCATTGAACTCTCTCATTAGCTCCTTTATTTAAGGTATTAATTCCCATTAATATTCATCGAATCTTATTTGTGACTAAAATGCTCCTATTTTTTAATTGGTCCCTCTAATTGTGAGGACACAAAATGTTTGAAATACCACATTTCTCCTCATTCAGTTCTCTCTCATTAATTCTTATATTGAGGGTATTAACTCTCATTCTTTTGTTGAGTCCTACATTAATTAACTATGTTAATAGAGAAAAATAAGTGTAACAAAGAATAATTGTTTTTATTGGTGATAGAAATAAAATGTAAATTTAAAATCAACCAAAAATGGAGTTGTTTTCCAAGTTGGTAGCGAGTTAACAATTCAACCTTTTTGGGTCAAATGTGTCAATCCTATATGTCAAAATTATATAATTTTATAATAATAAAAATTAAAAAGATGAAAACATATAAAAGTACACAAAATACAAAAAAAATTGTAAAAAAACATCTCTAATATCATATATTCATCATATAAAACAAAAAAAAGTGTGACAAATAAGAATAATTTTTATAAACATAGAAATTGAAAAAATTAGAAAAGTTTGAAAACATATATTATTTACTATCATCATCATTGAAGATTCTGCGTGCTCATTTACTAGCTTTATTAAAAGTGTGAATGAGAGTGTGGAAATTTTGTTTGACTAAAATGTAAGGACAAAAGTGTAATTTAAACAACCACTTTCTCTTCATTCAATTCTCTCTCATCAAATTTTATATTTAAGGTATTAACTCCTATTATCCCTTATGAGTATGGATGATGATTAATTCCTATTATCATTTATTGAATCCTACTATTAAACTATAATATCTTTATTTTTGCATTTGGTCCCTCTTTAATTGTTAAGACACAAAATGTAATTTAAACTATTATATTTCTCCTCATTAAATTCTTTCCCATTACATTTTAAATTTAGGGTATTAGTTCTCATTCTCTCATTGAATTCCATATTTAAGCTATTTAAACCAATAAATTATATCAATTAGATATATATCTAATACTTTTAATGATATACAAATATACAAATTAAAATTGACCAAAAAATGGAACTATTCTTACATCCTTGTGGCATGTAAGCAATTCAACCATCTAGGTCAAATGGGTCAATACATTATGTATGAATAAATACAAAAAATAAAAATATAAAAAAGTTAAACACGTCTCTAATGTTTTATATTAATCATATAAAAAAGTGTGATAAATAATAATTATTCTTATTGATGTTGGAATGGGATATAAATTTAAACCAATCTATGGTGGCGGGTCAACAATTCAACCTTTTAGTCAAATGTGCCAAACCTTGACGTCATAATCAAATAAAAATTAAAAAACCTAAAAAACATATAAACATCATGTAATAATGCAAAAAAATGTAAAAAACACTTAGGAACTTATCTAATATTTTATATTAATCGTATCAAATAAAAATAAGATAAATAATAGTTAATTTTGTTGATGTTGGAAATAAAATATAAAATTTAAAAACCAACCAAAAAATGAAATTGTTTTCTAAAAAATTCAACATTTCGGGTTATATGTGTCAACCCTTGATCTCATAATTAAATAATAAAAATTAACATACGTAAACATACAAACAATATGAAAAACATAGAAACTCTACAAAAAAATTTGGACATATCTCTAATATTTTATATGAATCATATGAGGAACTAAACATGATAAACAAATATTGTTTTAAATGTTTATTAATTATGGAAATAAAATAGAATTCAAAACCAACAAAAAAATGGATTTGTTTTCTTGTTTAGTAGCAAGTCAACATCCTTTTGGGTCAAATGTGTCACCCTTGATGTAATAATTAAATAATGAAATTAAAAAAGATGAAATCGCATAAGAGTATTAAAAATATAGAAAATGTTAGAGAAAAATTTGGGTACATGTTGAATATTGTATATTCATCATATTAAACAAAAATAAGTGTAATAAATAAGAATATGTTTTGATAAACCTAAATTTTCATTTTTTTGAATAATCTGAATTTATTCATCCTATTTTTTTTTAATTTGATAATGGTGGTGTTTTTTTTTGTTGAATAATCTGAAATTTCCAATTATTGATTTATATGTATAGTTAAAATTATCCTATTTTTATTTATTTGTTGATTTATATATGTATAGTTAATATTATCCTATTTTATTTTTTCAAATAATCCCAATTTAGTCATCCTATTTTATTTTTTTAATTTGATATGGTGTTTTTTTTATTTTCCTAAATAATCTGAATTTCCAGTTATTGATTTATATGTATAGTTTAAATTATCCTATTTTTATTTTTTTGTTGATCTATTTATTTATTTATTTTTGAATAATCTGAATATTATTATGTATATTGAATTGGTGGTGTCTTTTTATTTTCTTGAATAATATGAATTTCCAATTATTGATTTACATGTATAGTTAAAATTATCCTATTTTAATTTTTTATTGATTTATATGTATAGTTAATATTATCCTTTTTTTGAATAATCCGAATTTAGTCATCATATTTTATTTTTTTAATTTGATATTGGTGGTGTTTTTTTATTTTCTTGAATAATCTGAATTTCCAATTATTGGTTTATATGTATAGTTGAAATTATCCTATTTTATTTTTTGAATAATCCAAATATTAATATGCATAATAAATTGTATCCTACTTTTTTTTTAAATTCTCATTGGTATTGGTTATCTTTTTTATGTTTTTTTTTTGAATAATCCGAATTTTCATTCGTTGATTTTATATATAATTTGTAGGTTATGGCCAGTAGTCAAGGGAAAAATGGACGGGGGGGGGGGCTCCCAGGCTACATGGACTCCGAAACTACACAAAATTTGGGTGGACCTATGTTTGCAACAAGTAGTTTCCGGTCACCAAACCAATACTATACTAGATAGACAAGGGTGTACAAATTTGATTCAAGAGTTCAATAGGATAATGGGGAAAAACTACACCCAAAAATAAATGAAGAATCACTAGGATTTAGTGAAGAACGAGTGGAAGATATTACATAAACTATCAACTTATACTGGTTTGGGTTGGGATCTAGTGGACGAAACATTCACTGCTGGGGATGACTATCTGAAGGTATGTAGGTTAATTAATTTGTTAGGCAGAACCTTATACAATTATGTCCTTGTATGATAGACATACCTTGGTGCGGCATAGTTTAGATACACGGGTCTTCCCCATGTAGCAGATTTGGACATCATATTTGGTGGCATGATTGCCCACGGTTATGAT